CCGTGTGCGTGTCACTGGAGCTTTACGAAGCACTCGAAGCTGCTCGAAGCTTACGAAGCTGCTGAGGCTGTGACGTCACCTGCCTCGCACCCTGGCGGGCAGGGCGGGCATCACGGAGGATCGAGCCTGCACCGGCCGTGCACCCTCCCCACCTAAACAACCGCAACCCCCGAGCAGTCACACTCAGGCCATCCCAGCGCGCCGCATCCAGGCACGGCGAACGAGACCATGCCGGGCGGTTCCGGATCGAGACGGGGCTCGAATCCCGGCCGCCGACGCCGACGCGCCGAGCTGTCACGCTGAGAGGCGCCGCGGGCGACGACAGGAGAGCGGACGTCGATCAGACGGACAGGCGGGACGGACAGACCAGTGGGCAGACCGAACGGACGGGCGGGACGGACAGACCAGTGGATGGACCGAACGGACTGGCGGGACGGACAGACCAGTGGATGGACCGAACGGACAGGCGGGATGGACAGACCAGCGGACAGACCGAACGGACCTGCGGGACGGACAGACCAGCGGACAGACCGAACGGACAGGCGGGACGGACAGACCAGTGGACAGACCGAACGGACGGGCGGGACGGACAGACCAGTGGATGGACCGAACGGACTGGCGGGACGGACAGACCAGTGGATGGACCGAACGGACTGGCGGGACGGACAGACCAGTGGATGGACCGAACGGACTGGCGGGACGGACAGACCAGTGGATGGACCGAACGGACTGGCGGGACGGACAGACCAGTGGATGGACCGAACGGACTGGCGGGACGGACAGACCAGTGGATGGACCGAACGGACCGGCGGGACGGACAGACCAGTGGATGGACCGAACGGACTGGCGGGACGGACAGACCAGCGGGCAGACCGAACGGACCGGCGGGACGAACAGACCAGTGGACAGACCGAACAGACGGGCGGGACGGACAGACCAGTGGACAGACCGAACAGACGGGCGGGACGGACAGACCAGTGGACAGACCGAACGGACCGGCGGGACGGACACACCAGTGGATGGACCGAACGGACTGGCGGGACGGACAGACCAGCGGGCAGACCGAACGGACCGGCAGGACGGACAGACCAGTGGACAGACCGAACGGACCGGCGGGACGGACAGACCAGTGGATGGACCGAACGGATTGGCGGGACGGACAGACCAGTGGGCAGACCGAACGGACCGGCGGGACGGACAGACCAGTGGACAGACCGAACGGACCGGCGGGACGGACAGACCAGTGGATGGACCGAACGGACTGGCGGGACGGACAGACCAGTGGGCAGACCGAATTGACCGGCAGGACAGGTCAGCCAGAAGCCAAAAAGACGGACGGGCAGGACAGGACAAGACAGGCCAAGACAGATCAGCCAGTAGCCAGACCGAACGGGCGGGCAGGATAGGCCACCCAGCAGACAGGCCGAGTTGACAGGCAGGACAAGCCAGCCAGAAGCCCGACAGAACGGACGGACAGGACAGGCTAGCCAGAAGCCAGACCGGACGGACGGGCAGTACAGGTCAGTCAGAAGCCAGACAGAACGCACGGGCAGGACAGGCTAGCCAGAAGTCAGACCGGACGGACGGGCAGGACAGGCTAGCCAGAAGCCAGACCGGACGGACGGGCAGGACAGGCTAGCCAGAAGCCAGACCGGACGGACGGGCGGACCAGTGGCAGGGCCGGGTCAGACGGAGCAGCGTTCGACGGGAGGATCGTTCACATCGGCCGAATCGGGAGTCGGTCAAACCGTCGCCCAACGGCGGGTCGGTGGGTCAGTGGGTCGGTGGGTGGGTCGACCGGTTGGTGGGTGGGAAGGTGGGCCGCGGGTCGGCGAGTCGGTGGGCGGGGCAGTGGGTTGATGGGTCGGTGGGTCGGCGGGTCGGCGGGTCGGTGGGTAGGTCGACCGGTTGGTGGGTGGGAAGGTGGGCCGCGGGTCGGCGAGTCGGTGAACGGGGCAGTGGGTCGGCGGGTTGTGGATGGATCGGTGGGTCGGCGGGTCGGTGGGTGGGTCGGTGGGTCGGCGGGTAAGTAAGTGGGTCGATGGGTCGTCGGCGGGTGGGTCGGTCTGTCCGCCGGCGGGTCGCAGGTGTCGGGGCGGCGGCCGACTGTAAACCGCCGGCGGCGATCAATAGTCGGTCTCGGCCACAGCTCCATAGCGGCCACTAAGCCAGACCGGGCCGCCAACACCCCCGGCTGCAGGCGAGACCGGGGCGCCGGTGCACTCGGCTACAGGTCAGACCGGGGCACGGCGCACCCGGCTGCAGGGGAACGACACGCACTGGACTATCCGGGCACGGACACTCCACACATCGCCCACCGAAAAACCGACACGCGACAGCGCGCGGAGCCTGCTAACGCGGGTTCGCGCGGGGGATCCATGCACGGGCGTTACGAGGTAACCTAACAGCAAGAGCCTGGCACATGCGACCGACCGGCTCCATGCATAACACCGGCAACGCCAGTGACGCCGTACAGAGGACAACAACGGCCATCAAGGCTCCGACGGCACGGGGACGGGCAGGTCGGAGCTCAAGCAGCCCACAGTGGCCAGCGGCGCACGCGCGCGCCACATGGGTCCCCAGGCTATTACACACGCGATGACCTTTGCTCCCGGCGGCCCCCACAGAGCCGGATGCAGGAGCTGACCAACTTAGATGGACGGCAAGCAAGTGTCGGCATGACAGTGTCCGTCCCGGTGGGAACCCTCGCCGCATGCACATGGGCAGCAAAGTTCGGCGACCGAGAAACTCAACGTGGGCAGCTTCCGTGAGGACTTGGTGAGTTCACCGGAGCAAGGAGCGCCTCAACCGCGACGGTAACTACAAACAGACGATATGTCGCGGCTTTGAACCTTCCGACATCGATTCCCAACAACCATTTACACTGCTGTGGGTCCTCTTATCTCCCATTCCCCTGACATTGACCACACTTTCATCGCTCCACGGAACTCCATCTACACCTCTCGGGCCACACTGCTGGTCGTGGTCACTGACACATCTCAACGTCTCCACAGCCGCCGCCGGCAAAGCCCGTAATCCCTCTCCCGTGCTTCACACTCCATGAGGCCGCTGGCGGCTCCGCAGCCGCCGCCGGCGGTGCCCGTGAACCGCTCTCCCGACCTCCAGACACTACGAGAGAGCGCCAACGGCTCCGCAGCCGCCGCCGACAGAGCCCGTGACCGCTCTCCCGACCTCCAGACACTCCGAGGGACCGCTGGCGGCTCCGCAGCCGCCGCCGGCACAGAGACCGTGACCCCTCTCCCGAGCTTCAGACACTCCGAGGGACCGCTGGCGGCTGCTGATGGCCCCGGCCCGGCGCCGCTGGAGGCTGAGCGCCGCCGTCAGAGACCGTGACCCCTCTCCCAAGCTTCAGACACTCCGAGGGACAGCTGACGGCTGCTGACGGCCCGGCCCGCCGCCGCTGGAGGCTGAGCGCCGCCGTCAGCCAGCCGTGTCGGCCGCGCGCCACTATTTCCGGCGGCCGGGCTCTGCATGCACCGACCGTGCGGCGGCCGAAGTTGGCTCACTCTCGCCGCAGACACGCGGCGCACGGGGGCAGAGCAGACCGCGCAGAGAAGGAACGGGCGGTGCAGAACGGGGGCGGGAGGAGCAAGAGCGGACGGAGCACAGCGCACAGAGAGCGGGCATAGTAGAGCGTGCAGAGAGGGAGCGGGCGGACCAGAGTGCGCAGCGAGGGAGCGGGCGGAGAGCACGCAGTGCCGCCTAGGCCGCTGCCATGTATGCAGACGGAACGCTCCCACACTGAACTGTGTCCGTTCCAAACGTCTCCCGCCTCCGTAGCCCTGACCGGAAATGCGTACCGCAAGTGTTTAGAGTCGACACGCACGGTAGGGTTCCGTCACCTACTCTATCTGAGCACGTGTTAAATACCACGCCACTGATTGTGTTTACTCCCGTAGCATATCTCCAGTCCTTCCACTCGCCCCGTCTGTGCTCCCCGATAACAACGAAAATTGTAAGGCCGTCCATCTGGCCTTTCTCAACATGGCTATTTGGTCTGCAGTCCGGACGTTCGCATCGTTCATTCCTCACACAAGAGGTGATTGCGAGGGGGGGGGGGACAATCAGCACCAGATCGACTCCTGAAGCTGACTTTGTCCTGTCTGACCCCCCCCCCCCCCCTCCCACCTCACCCCAGGTCACGACCGCGGTGCCCTGTCGACACGGCTGTGTAGGGGGCGACGCCATGAGCGAGCGTGGCGCAGCGCTGGACCGGCTCCGGGGGCAGGCCGACCAGGCTCCCCCCCCCTCCCCCCTCCCCACGGCCAGTGCCGGACGCCTCACGTAGTCGGCTCATCGGAGGATAAGCCGTCTGTCATGTCACGGCTGACAGGATGACAGCTGTCACCTGACACACGTCTGGAGGGGAAGCTTTCGACGCCTTTGAAGCACGTCCGCGGGCCCTCGAACAGCGTAGCCTAGCTCGTTTAAACGACGTCCACTGTAACAACTCCAGGTCAGATCGACGTCCACTGTGCGAGCTCCTGGACAGATCGACGTCCACTGTGCGAGCGCCAGGTCAGATGGACGTCCACTGTGCGAGCTCCTGGTCAGATCGACGTTCACTGTGCGAGCTCCTGGTCAGATCGACGTTCACTGTGCGAGCTCCTGAACGGATCGACATCCAGTGTGCGAGCTCCTGGACAGATCGACATCCAGTGTGCGAACTCCTGGTCGGATCCACATCCACTGTGCGAGCTCCTGATCAGATCGCTAAAACCGTGGTCTGGCAGGTTTGGCCACAGTTTGAATGTGGAATTTGTTGCACATAACACATGAGTGCATCACAAGCCTCAACCGACATAACGGTCGTAATGCACAACAAACGCAACACAAAAGGATTGCAGATAACCCTGGACGCGTACTTGCTAAGTGATCTCAGCATATGTCTTAAAAATGACATGAGGGGATAGAGTCTACAGATACATGACAGGGTTACAGTCTCACAAGCTAGCATGATCCAGGTGCGCAGGACTGACCTTCCACCGCGATGACCTTGTCCTTAGCCGCCTGCAGGGCAGCCTCGGACCTGTGCTCCAGGTCGGTCAGGGCGACCTTGTACTGGACCTGCGGATAACAACAGGACGCGTCAGTAATCATCGGGGATTACCTAACGACTCACGTGACGGGACAGCCCATTACCTTGACAGCCACCCGCGACGCCTGTCGCGCTAAAGTGGGAAAACAGGCGAAAATCGATCCCGGCCGGGTTTCGAACCGGGGGCTGTCAATTCCGCATGCACGAAGCACTAGCTTCCCCGTTTGTCAGCGATGCCGCCAAATGGCCCCTGAGCCAAAACGTTGAGCGTCATCGATTAGAGCATAAGCTGCCCATTGGCAAGAGTTTTAAGGGAGCAGAAATGGTGTAATAATAATGGTGGTGTAATATGTTGCGCCATATAAGAACAGATCACGCCATCTTGTTACGCCATATGTTGCGCCATGTTATAGTCACGCGTATAAAACACAAATGACGTGTATAATATAATATGTTGCACCGCACGAATTAAGCAAAGACGTGGTTTCTGTGCATGACCAATAAGTTTAAAAGACGGACTGACTGATCCAAAAACAGCCCCCCTAGCCCCCCCCCCCCCCCCCCCAGCACAACCATAAGATCAGTAATACCCTGGATGTAACTCCACCCACTGCCCTTCGTATCCTGCGGAATACCACACGCTGAAGGGGTTGGCACACGCGGGAGCGCGAGTGTGGTCCGCGTCACGTACACCCCGTGGATCAACGAGCAGGCGGTGTCAAAGTAAGGTGACCCAAGAGACCAGGGCCTGGGTAACAGCGGCGTCTCCTGTATCCTCCCCGATTGTTAACTGAGGACGCTTCCTGTCCTCCGTCACGAAACAAGGCCGGGCCGAGACCTGGCCGGAGGCCTGTGTCGGTGTGTGACGCGGGCGTGACGGGCGTAACGGCAGCGCGTGTCCCACGGGCGGGGGGGGGGGGGGGCGCCACGTCAGGCGGGCGCTCCGTCCCAGCGGGGATCTCCGCCGGCCAGTCGTGGAGGCCTCAGACGGCTGACGGCGAGGACGCCGCAGCCAGCGGCGAACAGCAGCAGCGCCGGCGCATCTCACAGCCGCAAGGAAAGAAACACAAAGAAAGAAAGAAGACACGGCATGTGTGTTCGGAGTCGGCAGACACTGAACACACATGCCGTGTGCTCCGTGAACAGGACACCGCACCGCCCACGGGCGGGCCCTCACTCGGGGTAAGCTGATTTCGAACTTGACCGCTCCGTTATTCCAAGATGGCGGATATCTCGGGGCGGTCGCAGGCCCGTCCAGAGACGGCTGGTGCCTCAGAGCACTGGCGGGACGGTTTTGAGCCATGCCTGCGCCTGGCAGACTGTTGGGTAGTCTAGAGGTGGCGGGCGGTATCGCCAGGTGACCCCTAGTCCTCCGCGTTTGTTTCCCTGCAGACTCCAATGACTCCTATTTGGGGGGAAACCTGACGACAGTTGCAGTCTTGCCATACTTACCATGGCCGACTCTGCACCCTGCTTATGGTCTTGTCATACTTGCCATGGCCAACTCTACACCCTGCTTATAGTCTTGTCACACTTACCATGGCCAACTCTGCGCCCTGCTTATGATCTTGTCACACTCACCATGGCCAACTCTGCACCCTGCTTATAGTCTTGTCACACTTACCATGGCCAACTCTGCACCCTGTTTAGTCTTGCCACACTCACCATGGCCGACTCTGCGCCTTGCTTATGGTCTAGCCACACTCACCATGGCCAACTCTGCACCCCGCTTAGTCTGGCCACACTCACCATGGCCGACTCTGCGCCCTGCTTATGGTCCTCCAGTTCGACGAGCCGCTCCGACATTGTCTTCAGCTGGGCTGACTTCGTCTGTACCTCCTGCAAACACGGCCGTCAAATACGCCGTAAAACACGCCGCACTAACGAAACCTGGCGGCAGGAGATAGAAACACGGCTTCGCTACGCGTCCACCGGTGACGCCACATCTAATACCGGCGATAGGACATTAGACAGAATATTGGCGATAGTAAAAACTTTCCCGTCTTCCAGAGCACTTCGCGTCGGCAGGCTGGGACTACAGACATCAACGGCACCACCAAGATAGCTCACGAAACGAACGTTCATCCTAATATATACTTGTCTGGCCGGAGAGACCCCACCCTCCCACGTGAAACAAGCTCAATTAGGACGAGCTATTTTGGTGAGCTATGAAGAAGGGAGGAGTTTAGATTGCCTATCTGGTGTTATTGTTACTGAAAACCACCTACGGCGGGGGGGGGGGAATCTCCTCAGGATTTGAGTAGTTGGTGACCTCCATGAGGCCTTAAGCTGTGACTGACGTACAAGAGGCGTTGTTGGAGAGGAGCTCCTTGAAAGAAGACCTCTCGCATGGACGAGCTTGTCAGCACGCTCCCACGAGACGTAGTCGTGGCTACTCCCTGCTCTCCCCGAGCGGCGCCACTGGTGACAGTCCCCTCCCGCGCGCGAGGCTGCGCCGATAACTGACCTCCCTCAGGCGGGTCAGCTCCGCCAGCTGACTGGCCAGCTCGGCCTCGTGTCGACTGCAGTCTCGGTGCAGCTGCGCCACCAGCCGCGAGCCCTCCTCCAGACTGCGCGTCTGCTCCTGGTGCCGCGCCAACAGGCGCTTGTATCGCCCGATCAGCTGACTGCCGGGCGAGCGGGGCGCAGGTCAGCTGGCACGGAGGGCTCAGGTCAGCAGGTGGAGAGGGTTCAGGTCAGCTGGTGGACGAGGCCCACGTCAGCTGACAGGCAGGGCTCAAGTCAGCTGGCATATGGAACTCAGGTCAGCTGGCGGGAAGCGCTCAGGTCAGCCGGCATATGGGCCTCAGGTCAGCTGGTGGGAAGGGCTCAGGTCAGCTGGCAGGGAGGGCTCGGGTCAGCAGGCCGGTGGGGCTCAGGTCAGCCGGCGGGCAGGGTTCAGGTCAGCTGGTGGACGAGGCTCAGGTCAGTTGGCTGGCAGAGCTCAGGTCAATGGGCAGGCAGGGCTCAAGTCAGCTGACGTATGGGGCTCAGGTCAGCTGGCGGGCAGGCCTCAGGTCAGTTGGCAGGCAGAGCTCAGGTCTACTGGCCGGCAGAGCTCACAAGGGCACGCTCCACTGACGTGGCGACGTCCACAGCGACGCTCAGGTCAGCCGGGCAATCCAACCGAAGTGTCGCGTGCTTTAACAGGCGGAGCACGTTAACGACGCCGTTGACAATGTCATAGGCGTCCTGTTAAGTGGCAACAGTCACGGTCAGGGGCGTATGCATGGTTTCACAATGAGGGAGGTACAACTCCAGCAATGTTGAGTGAAAAATCCGTTAATGAGCAAAGCTAAGCCATTTCTTTACACATGCGCATATTCATTTTATACAATTCCCGTGTCTACGCCGACCTTTTAACCGTTGACTTGATTCAAAACCACATAACTGCTTTTAAAATCATAAAAGGGCAGGGCACGTGCCCCCGCGCCTACCCCTGAATACGCTCCTTGTCACGGTACACCAAGCGACCGGCACTGCGCGCGGGGCTGCGCTCACTCACTCGGTGTTGATAATCTTCATCTTGATGCGGTCCATCTCCATCCACTGCCTACGCAGCTCCGCCATCTCCTGCAGCAGAAATTAGCAGCATCACAAGGTAGCCTTCTTGCCGCCACAGTATTCCGCCGGATAACGATATGGATGGGAGCTTTCAGAGCAAGCCTTTTGCGCGTAACATGTGCGGAGCCTACCTCCAAGCATGAAAATGACTCATCAGATGTCGTCGCCCCACCCCTCTTGATACGGGCTGAGCGCCGCCGGCGAACTGTGCAGCGCTGATCAGCACAGCGCCGGTCCCCAGCGCTGGTCGCCAGCGTTGGTCAGCGGCGCCCAGTGGCGCCACAGCGAACGGCGTACCAGTCATCCGCTCTCAAAACCCTCCGGCTGGGGATCAGGCCGGTCTGGCCGGCAGCGGGCCGGCTCGCCCGGAGAAGAGCTCACCCGCCCGCACGCCCACGCACCCAACCGAACACGCACCCGGGAGCAAGCTAAGACGGCGCTGAGAGAGCTAGTGCACCATGCTGGGACCGTGCTGGTGTACCATGCTGGTGTACCGTGCTAGTGTACCGTGCTTGGACTGTGCTGGTGTACCGTGCTGGTGTGCCGTGCTGGGACTGTGCTGGTGTACCGTGCTGGTGTACCGTGCTGGGACTGTACTAGTGTACCGTGCTGGTGTACCGTGCTGGGAGAGCTGGTATGCTGTGCTGGTGTACTGTGCTGGTATACTGTGCTGGGAGAGCTGGTATGCTGTGCTGGTGTACTGTGCTGGGAGAGCTGGTATACTGTGCTGGTATACTGTGCTGGGAGAGCTGGTATACTGTGCTGGTATATTGTGCTGGGAGAGCTGGTGTACCGTGACTGACGACTGATTGCGATGCATTTCATTTTTGTTGGGTGCCTTACGAACGAAGAAAATTACGAATGGGCTGATGCGGAATGTATGATGACTGAATGATGACTAAACAACGACCATTATCTTAGGAATGAACACATAACATCAGTTCTCACGAAGACACTATCAATCAATAGATGCATGAGAAGTATGCCGTAATGCCAAGAAAGTTTTGTGCCTTCGCACGACCGATCTCGGATCGTGAGCGATTAAAAAACGCTTGACCATTCAGTAACGGCAGCGGCACCACCACATCGCTGACAATCGGCCCGTCTTGCTCTGATGTCACAGGCAACCCAAGGCCGGACGGCCTGCGCCGGATGTGACCACCGGCATCACACAGACGCGCACATACACAGCCCCTGCACCGCCAATGACAGGAAGGAGGGGGGAGGGGGCTGTGGCCACCGGGATCACACAGACGCGCACATACACAGCCGCCTGCACCGCCACGGACCGGGGGGGGGGGGAGGGGATGACCTGCGGCCGCGCCACTCCCGGCCTCAGGCGGCAGGAGGGGGAGGGGGAGGGGGAGGGGGGGGGGAGGGTCACGCCAAGAGGGGCGGAGACCACGGGCGCGGGCAGCCCCTGCGTCGACAGGGCCAGTACCCAGCCGGGGCAACAGCAGTCACGGCGGACCTGCCGCCGGACACGGCACCGCGGTCTCGGTCACACCGCATACCTGTCCGGACGTCGAATGACTGCTGCGTGTTTGAGTAATGGGCGCGACGAGCACGTTTGCCCTCTCAGCCATGCCCGCCATACATTCCGTTAAAGACGAATTGACGCGTGTGAGGTGCGTACACTCTTCTCGTGATGGGATCACTCATATGACCATTTCCGACCGCACAACCAGACACCGCCACATACCACTAGGTGCACAAACATGATACGTTGCAAGCTACAGACCGCTTATTTACGCGTCATAAATCATCCACTCCCTGATAAGTTGAGAACCACTGCAATCTCACGCCGGTGACGCAGGTCCGTCACCGAACAAGATGCGAGCCACACCCACTCACCTCCACCACACGCACAACGCGCACATGGCGGCAGCATCGCGAGCCCAGCTGGCGCCATCACTACCTTCACGACACCGGGGGGCCCGCCCCCGCCACCACACACAGCTTCACCGCCGCGGCGCCGCCCGCTGCGCAGCGCCGCCAGCCCCCTCCCCCTCCCAGACGGGGGGCGGGGCGGGGGCGGGACTTTGATCAAGGTCGGCGGGTGGTGAGATCGGCCCCTGTACGGCATGTGCGGGGGGGGGGGGCTGTAGGTGGCTGTCCGGAGGCTGGGCACCGACCAGCGAGGGCTGGCGGTCTGGGCCGGGGCCTGGTGCTGCGGTAGGTCACGGCGGGACACGGGAGGTCACGTCGGTCACGGCGGGTCACGGCGGGTCACGGCGGGACACGAGAGGTCACGTCGGTCACGGCGGGACACGGCAGGAGAGACGTGAGTCAGCAGAGGTCACTGAGTCAGCCTTCTCTGGCGTAGAACGGAGTTGGCATCGGGTGTGAATATGTGGTGTTGGTGTTGGACAACTTATAAGTTCGACAGCTCACGGCGAAGACACGCGGCAGCCTCGTGACGTCACCATCCGACCACTGAGCCCACATCCTCTACTGACACGCGCAGCGTCAACAGCCCGCCCACAGTCCAATGAAGGCGGGAGGCAGCGCGGCACACACGGGAGATCGGGTTTTGAAATTCGTGCAGCCTCCGAATGTACCGGGCTACGTGCGCTGAGCGCCCACGCGTCACCACCCAGCCCTGAAGAAAACAGCTTTTCCCAGCTCACCACGGTCTTTTGCCACAGCCATGCCCGAATGTCGGTCGGCGGGCGCGTCGTCTGTGTGGCAGCCCTGTCCGCCTGACAAGCTCGGTATCACAATCCCCTTGATACAATGGAGGCCCTACGGCGACCGTAAAAATACCTTTACAGTGAAGAAAACAAGACAAAAAACTGTTTTAGTCCGCGACCATCACCTGGGAGATGTTTTGGCTATCACACTCTGGCACCGACAAAAACACAAAAAACCGCACAAATAAGGTGTTACTAGCGCACGCATCCCTCAACCACCGCATCCCTCAACCACGGCATCTCTCATCCACGGCATCTCTCGACCATGGCATCTCTCAACCACCGCATCCCTCAACCACCACATCCCTCAACCACGGCATCTCTCAACCACCGCATTCCTCAACCACCGCGTCCCCCAACCACCGTATCCCTCAGCCACTGCATCCCTCAAACACCGCATCCCTCAACCACCGCGTCCCTCAAGCACCGCATCTCTCAACCACCGCATCTTTCAACAACTGCATCCCTCAACCATGCTTTGCACGCATGTGTACAAGAACAGATTAATTTTACTTTCAGGAATATGGTGCCGGTGGAAATAAGTCATGTGTTCCATGTATGCTTTGCATCTATGACATGAACTTAAAGCCTTTCCATTATGTGCTGCTTTGTGATGAAATGACCTGCTACTACCAGGTTGCCTATGCTGCTCTGTGAGGAAATGACCTGCTATCTGCCAGGTTGCCTGTGGTGCTCTGTGAGGAAATGACCTGCTATCTACCAGGTTGCCTGTGCTGCTCTGTGATGAGATGACCTGCTATCTACCAGGTTGCCTGTGCTGCTCTGTGATGAAAAGACATGCTATCTACCAGGTTGCCTGGACCCTAAGTTACATGCTCGACCATATCCACGCCATGCCGAGCTAAGTCATTGTCATGCCATAAAGACATAACTATACTATCATGCCAGAATGCCAGACATATATGGAAAGGTGGTGAAGTCACTGGATGTAATAGTAACAACACTAGCAGGCTTGGCAATAAACTTAGCAGTACAAATATCTTGCTCTAATGCATACAAGAAGGCAATTTCTGCATAAATGCACAATGGATTTTATGGTAAAGTAGCATTAACACATCATTGTCATGACAACATTAAATAATACTGTGATGTTCCTATGATTGGCCTCTACCATCTGGAATGGATCCTTGACAATGATCTATTTTCATGGACCAATCTTGCCACACATTGCTATGGTACTGATATGTCAGTGCTTGCATAGCTGCACAACTTAGTGTTTTTATTTCATGTGAAGGTTGTCTACAATTTGCTGCATTATTCTAAGCAAACAACTTACAGTATGAATCAGGGTATATGCAACACATGTTTCTTTTTGGGTGCTCACTTTCTGGGGACTATCATGCCCAGTATGAATTGAAATTGCATTCCCTTAGGCAGCAGGATTACAGCATGGACTGTTCAAAGTATTGTGGGGAACCCTGGTTTAGCTTTTCAGATTATCAAGTAGAGCTAGAAGACAAAAAGAGAAACTTGTAACATGTTGGCACATTTCCAATATACAGATGGAGTCTAAGAGTACATTGTTGGGTGAAAATCAACAATGTGCTTATCCCAGACAATCCAAACCTGTCATCCAGACCACAAGGCAGCTGGGAGCAGACCAGTTCTCTTCAACAAGCTAGCAGAATCAGAGGTCACAGGGCACACTGGTCCCAGGGCACACTGGTCCCCAAGGCACACTGGTCCCAGGGCACACTGGTCCCAAGGCACACTGGTCCCAGGGCACACTGGTCCCCAAGGCACACTGGTCCCCTGGCACACTGGTCCCAAGGCACACTGGTCCCAGGGCACACTGGTCCCCAAGGCACACTGGTCCCCTGGCACACTGGTCCCAAGGCACACTGGTCCCAGGGCACACTGGTCCCCAAGCACACCAGTCCCTGGGCACACTGGTGCCAGGGCACACTGGCCCACCACTGACCTGCTGGGCCTGCAGACAGCCGGGACAGCTGGCACTGGCACCAATCTCTGGAGCATTGCCAGCAGCAAGCATGTCAAAAAATTCCTGGTCCGCCATGCTGTCCTTATGGAGTCACATTGTCAGGGATCAAGGCAGGAACAGCATTTTCTTGGTGAGCTGAAAAATAAAGGGCAGTAGCAGTCAGTGACTCTCTTCACTGAAAATGTGCATTTGTTAAACAACAGTTCAACTCTTGCAGAACTCCTGGGTAAAACTCATCATGATAGTTAGAATGAAAGGCTGTTAAACTCTTCAGATTTTATGCCACAATCCTTTTACTCAGGGGTGGTTCTATGCTCAGATCCAAGCATCCACATCACTTACAATCACTTGACCTATCATCTTATATGATAATGACAGTCACCATAGCTGAGTCAATACCACACTACTAAATGCAGCCTCACATTTTAAGCTCTGCTGCATGGACATGCAAAGCTTGGGGATTAAAAGCTCCAAACTCCTGTTTTCTTGCAGTAAGGCCTAATAGCAGGGGTCTCCCCCAACCCCGTGGCATCAGTGCCGCAGGATTGAGAAACAAGGTTTGATTTACTCAATTTCCTTGATGTGTGACATTGATGTTTTAACATATTCAGAAGCTACATTAAATGCATATATCACATAATATTCATATATCACATAACAGCACATTTGGCTGCTACATCATCCAGTCAACAATGAGGCCCATCTTTTGCTGCTCTTGTTTTGATGGCTTGATGCATCAGCATTATCTCAACTCCCACAGTGTCCACACAAATTGCTGCATTTCAGTCTTCAATGTAACAACTGCATGTTGAAGTGGCAAAATGGTACTTATATCTCTGCTTTGTATGTATCCTTGCTTTCTTATGGTCAAGTGTTAAGGGGTACAAATAAGTTGTCTAAGTTCTAAGTTGTCTAATATTTTCAATTCTGATGGAGTGTGAGCTTCAGTAAACACTCCCATTGGTGCTATCCACCACGAATGAAAGATCATTCTACTCTGCTGTCAATAACCTCCAGTTCCTCTTGCTAGCAACTGGCAAGCTCATAAGAGCTAAACCTTCCAACAACCCCTTGCATATTCGGCAATCAAAAATCCAGACCATTAAATGCACAGAATTTTTGCCACTGGCATGAGCATATTGAAAACATGGCGAATCCTCACCATGGGAAGTCAGGTCACCTAGCACCACTACCACGGCATCCAGCAAAACCATATCATGTTTTTATCCACTACACAACCACGAGGGTGTAGACGAATATCACGTTTTCCATCACGAGTGAACGTTTGTGCGGGCACCCTCTGTCATAGCTGCGTCATTTCTGTATTAGTTTGATAAAGCTTAACGTAGGTAAATACAATTATTTAGCGTTAGGAGGCAACACAGCCTTAGAGCAGGCAGGGACAGTGTGCACGTGTCCTTCCTCCAAGCATATAACTTCATATTTCTTTGTGAAGGCTATGGCCCCAAATGTTGGATCGGATCTCTAATGCTGAGCTGGGGTCAGCAATGTTGGGCTACCCCCAGCATTTGACTGGGCCCCGCTATATTCTGCTTGGCCTTCTTTTACAATGTGGTACCTGGCTCACGACGCCCCATCAGTTCTTTGGAGTACAGATAATTTAAGACTTTGTAGACGCTCGCGATTTACCATTTAAGAAAGACACTTATGTAGCACGATACCTAATAACTGATATAAGACGAAACCCGCAAAAAGAAACATTTTGTAAGCTGCTGGTGTAAAGTAATTTACCTGTCGTGGTGCGAGACTTGCTTGCCGTTCGCGGGCGGCATTGTGCGCACAAGCGGGAACGAGCGCAGGTACTGGCTTGTGCATGGCGCGTGCCTGCTTGCATCTGACACCTCGTAGTGGTGGGTCCGGGGATCTGTCGCCAGGCGGCCGTAACCCGTAGTGTCGGCTACGCCGGCACTGGAGACGCGGCCGGCCGCTAGGTGGCGGTAATGGCCGTACCAGGTATGCTAGGTGCCGCAATCGAGTTATGCGCCTACACGAGGAAGAGAACATTTCATCCCAGGGCGAGCACGATGAGGGAAGTGATGAACGGTTTTTCGAGGTACTCCGCATCGTGCCTCGTCTCTGGGGCATCGCACTGTGGCCTCTTCTTGAAGTCGGGCTAAAGAGGATGGGGCTCTGCGGCCCTTACGGGGGTGGGAGTGGATTCCTTCACGTGACTCTAAATATGTGCACTTTAAGTTTTGGCTCATATAGAATATACGTTCGTAATTATTTGTTGGCCAAAGCAAATTCCCAGGCGAGCGTCAGTGTTTAGAGGAGAAAGTGACGTAATAAGTTCGAGAAATGGCTATTGGAGTAACGTGTCTAATAAGAAGATGCGGTGGGCATATCTTTCCCTTCCAAGTGTGCTGTTCCGGAATTCCTCTGCGGTGAGCGCTAAGTGAACTCTTCCGGGCCCGCACACCTACCGTGTGGCAGGCGGAGCAAGTGCGCATTAATATGAGCCACGGTGCATTGATGTCGCCAATTGGTGAAACGCGACATTTCGCGGTACCGGCTGGCGCGGCACGCTGGCCAACAACGCGAGAACATCACACTCACCTCAGAGTGAATTTGTGTCATTGGGGCTTTACGACGCTTCTGAGACCATACGGGGACGCCTGTCTCTGCTCCTGGCAGAAAGGGCAGGCACTGCGGGGAATTAAACCTCACGGCGAATGGTTAAGCGCAAGAACATCCTATGCACATTATCTAGCTAGTGGTGCTTCTCAAGTGACATGCCATGACGCCAATATTGAAATTTTGGCAGTGATAACAGGAAGCGGCAAAACTATTAGAATTCGTATACTTCGGACGCGATATTCTCTCTCTTAGAAAAACATACGGCCAGCTCCCTGAAATATCTCAGATGCTTTGTGTCGTTGACATCAAAATATTAAAACCTTGTGGCGCACGTTTTGAGTGTCTTGAAGGAGCACGACAATTCCCTACCTCATTTTGAAGAAATGTGACACGAGCGATGCATAAACGACATGAGTGTTGGATATTAAATGCAAGGATGCTAGGTTTACAACGTCCCGGCGCGTAAAATCGTCTGGCATTCGAACTATGAGATAGTTGTAACACACCTGGCATAACAGTTGCGTGCAAAAGAAGCCTATCTTGTAATGGGTATCATACATAATACGTAACATGCAATGCGTGCGTATTTCGCGTACAAGTGCCTTCGCATTTTCATTAGCGTTGGCATGCACAACACCACGGGTTCATGCTGCGATGGTGTAACATCAGTCGCTCGTAATGCTATGACCGCTAATTTTGCTCAGATAATCTATCTCGAAATCGCACAGGTGTATTTTCCTGGTCAAGAGCTGAAGGGCCCTTTCGTCCCATCCCGGGGTGCGTAGCAACTACTATTCTGGCGATACGAGGACCGGGGTGCCCTGGTCGATTCGGAGGTCCTCATATCTCTGATGCGACAGTCTTTCTGACCGTGGCATCTGACACAGGATCGACGCAGGGACGCGCCACGGACGCAAAGGATCCCTTACCGGCTCAGGGTGTTCAATGTCGAATCGGTGCCGATGCACAAATTCGGCTTATCGACCCCTGCCTCCTGGTTGAAACGGTGCAGGGGCCTGGTTCGGTGCCGGGACATCTGAGTGGCACAGATCACCATTTCGATGTGAGCGCAAACCGTTGCATCATCATTTCCCACGTCTCCTGTCCTGTTCCTGTCTCCTGTCATTGTCAAGAGGGTCCTGACCAACACAAAAGACATTTTGTTGTTCGAAGTCCCGCTCCTGAAAATGCGCCCATGGCCGAGTTAGGGCGCAATGCCAACAAGGGCTCCCTTGTTGGGCAACTTGAGCCCCTGATCAACACAGGGGCTCGACCAATGCGCGATCTTTCTGACTGATACTCGGCGCCACGACGCTGCCCCGGCTTGGGAAAAAAGGCTCCAGGGCCGAGACCCGCGCGGAGGCGAGTGTTCGATACTGCCTTCCGCCTAAGGTCCTTTCGTACCTGGTCTGCCCTTTGGACCCTTCGATCAAACTCTTGAGCTACGTTCCCTTGCGGCCCAAGGGGCTTCTGGGACCCTCGGGACCTCAGTCCCGTGTTCCTGCTCACCGATAGTGGTGCCTTGGATCCTCGTGAAAATAAAAATGGGGTATTTTTTGCCGCCCTGTGGTGGGCTTAGAGACATTCATGGTGCCTCTCTAGAAGTGGGCGCCTCTTCAAAATGCAGACCGTGATGCCCGAAGTTAAGGCATCGGGTGTCTCTTCGTCAAGAGGTCCGACTAAGAATTTCGTCAGGATGGGATGCGAAGAATTAGCGTTGTCCTGATTCTGGTGTCCTTTGAAGATACAGATGCTGGGATTCTTTAAATTATTCGTTTGGATTGGTTGCCTGTCAATAACAAAGGTTATGTTACCCCAAAATAGAAGTTTTTTTGTGTGCCATCGCCGAGTAGGCTGATGCCGAGCTTCACCCATGGAGAGGTAACGAACACTGAGGTGCCATTAAAATTTGTTGCTTCTTGAAAATAAATGTTTGGGACCTATTGTGCTCCCCTGGAGTTGGGTGCCGGCGTAACTAATGTTTACGATAATCCACAATGAAGGATTTGTGGTGTCTCTTTTCCGGAAGGGGTTGATCCAGAATGTGGTCAGGATGGAAGGGAAACAAATTCTGGTGTCCCCTTAAACTGAGGGTTTCGGACCCTTTCAATGACATGCTTGGACTTTTGCATACAGTAGATAACTGGTTTGGTGCTGCGAATGAAGATTTTGGCGTTCCTTCGCCAATGGGCCGATCCTTGATTTCGTCAATGGAGCGCACGGGTGTTGCAATTTCCCCCGAAATTTGTTGCCTAGTAAATACAAGCGTTTTCGGACTCTTTGAGGTCTCCCCCGGAATTATGCATCGCTGGAAAACACAAGTTATGACTCCCCAAAAAGAAAGAAGGAAATTGGTGCCACTTCTCCGAACGTCGAAGAAAAGGCTTATCAGGTGTTTCGTCGTAGTGAAACGCACAGAAACACCTGAAAACAGGGGCCATGGTGTCCCAAAGTAAAGGTTTTGGTGGACCTCACCCAAGGAAGTGTTCAAGAACTTATTCCGGGGTGGAAGGCACAACATTGTTGTGTGTCTTGAAAATGAAGGTTTGTGCCCCCCCCCTGGTCGCCTCTGGGATTTGGCGCCTCTTGGAAATAAAGGCCAAGTGGTTTCGAAACAAAGGTTTTGGTATTCATTCACCACGACGTTTTGGTGCCACGAAGGGGCACCAAAACCTTATGAGTGGGCCAAGGGTGAGTAGGACGACTCATGCCTTCTCCAGCCCATCTCAGGGTACATCCTTGCCTGCATTGTGTGATTACAAGCAGAATGAGACCATCAAATTTGGACACTCCTGGGGCGTTACCATCATTCAACGAAACATTTTTGTTTAGTCCCAGCGGCTTTATTCAGACAGGCGCCCACCAGCCACTCAAAATCATTACCTTCCTCATTACCATCCTGGGACGGCCTCGAAGTGGCACATTTGTTGGTACATGCGGTGTTCAATATGGCAGGCAGGTGCTGTGTCCACCATAGCTTCCATTTTGGAGACTGCGATGAGACGTCTATAAATAAACATTATCCTCAAGAGATGAGCTCTTGAGGATCAGGACAGCTCGAGATGTTGAGTGCCGTCAAAAGGCTCATTGTCACACTACAATGCCGTTTAACTAGTAGCTTCCGATGTATCGAAGGCCGTTAAGCCACGTGAAAACTTTGCGCTCATAATACCGAAAAAAGAAAGGGAAGGACTTTCTTTCTTACGACCGTGGCGTTAAGTTGGCAATATTCGTGAATATATGTACCGGAAATTGGATAAACAGCATTTATGGGTTCGCCCCCCTTCCATCATGAAAAATGCAAAGATCCACCCATGGCACACTGACTGATTTCACCCACCTTACAGTAAAGGCAGACTATCTATTGTAATCAGGCGAAGTTTATCAATTTATCACGCGTACCTCAGGGCTGCCGGAAACGGCGTCTCCCGAAAGCTGAGCTTTATCTGCCTGCCGCTAGGGCAGCTGCACCGTTCGTGACAATTACCTTTGATCCCATTCCACCAAAAGACAGAAGAAGCGAAAGGAGGTCAGAAGAGTGGGGATCCCCTAACGTCCCAAGAACAGACCCGAAGGTGGAAGATCAGGTTTGCCCCCCCCCCCCCCCATCACATCATGTAACCCTACGTCACTGCCAACCTCCGCTCCGTCGCGCCTACTGACTTGGCTTCCGCCCTTATGTCATCTTCCTCCATTTATCCTGCATCCTCGTGACACCCCGTTACATGCACCCTTGTATCCTCACCCATGCACCCTTGTATCCTCACCCATGCACCCTTGTATCCTCTGTCTTGAGCTATTCTGCATCCTCGCGACGTTCGTTCGCGACGCGACGCGACGTTCCGCTTGGCCGGGGCATGCTGCATGCGCCAGGTACGGGTGCTCCGAAAGGCGCCGAGTGGGGGACTTCCCAGCGCGCCTACCGCACAGGTGGCCTCCTTGGTAATGCAATATTAAAGGGAAGGAGCACCGTGGGCACGTGCCTCTTATCAAATTGTAACATGCACCATGTCCATGTACAACTAGTAGCACCTTAAGGGGCCACTTGGAAGAAACAAGATAAAAGCCGCGATTCTTGCCCAACTCCTTTCAGGATTACTCACTGCTGCGTGGCACCCAGCCCTGTTTCGGGCTGGGGCGTGGCTCCCGCTGACAGCAGGATCAGCCTCTCTGGCTCGTCCTCCTCTTTGCGAGCGTTGACAGCACATTTCGGCATGATCGTGCCTTCTGCGCCATCTGTCAGGTAAAGTGTGAAACTCCTGATGTCTAAAGCGATGTGTTGTTCCGATCCAACGGTGGCCTAGCAGGGAAGAAGAAAGGTGCAAACGATTTCCTACTGATTTTGTTTTCAAACGCTAGGGGTGTGTCATTAAATCCATCGGTTTTGTGGAGGGAGGGGATATATAAATATGTAAATACAGATAACTCAGGCTGAACGGACGGCCGCGTCTGTAATTCATTCTCCGACCAAATATTTTGTTGGTAAGTGCACGTATAAGAAAACGGAAAATGAATCGCATGATATACCACACAAAGAACGCAACCTTTTTTGAGTAAAGCGTGTTGTCTGCCATCCAAAGTCACCAATCAACAGCCACACGCAGTGTGCCACGTGACCGACCGGACGTCAGTCATGACATTCACGACGCACCGAATAGAAATACGTCATCAGCACCAAGGAAGGCAAAAGTATCTGATTCTATAGAGCCGCAGGACATTATTGGTTGAGTGATATGCTTCCGCGGAATCGAACTACAGGTGGCGCACTCGAGGGTTGCGTGCATTTCATTCAACCTCAACATTTCGCAGCTGGCCAGCTGATGCAGCCGCTACGAACGATAAAAACGCGCGCACCATCACAAATTCGATGCGCTAATGGCGCCCTGAATCCCGCATGACGCCACCCCCTCCCCTCCCCCACCGGCGGCCGCTCGTCACGGATCGTCAATGAAGCCAATCACCGAGCCCGTCTCCGCCAACGTCCGCTGCGTCATGGCGTCGATCTGGCCAATCAGCTGCTCGGTCTCGTCGTCGGTGACGTCGGCGAAGTTGCCGTTGGTGACGTCACTGGTCGTCATGCGGTCGGACGGCGACGGCGGCGGCGGCGCGGCCGTCTCCAGCTGGTCCTGGTCGAAGTTGGCGTCCCAGTCGAGGCTGGTGGGCGAGGTCTCGCGCGTCAGTGCGACGCTGCACGTGTCGATGGTGCGGCCGCACGACATTTGCTCCTCGTCGGGCGGCCGGCGGCGCGAGCGACGCGGCGAGAAGCCTGCAGGCAGACGCGGAGGTCAGAGGTCACGGACGAACGCCGCCAGGGCGAGCTGTGGAAGACATGCTGCGAAGGTGCCCGAGGACCGAGGAACATGTCCAAAAAGTGGTAGGCCCAGCCATCAAGTTGTCAAATATGCACGACAGATGGAAGGTTATGCTCTTCCGACTCATCCCTACTAGGCAGAGATGGTTATGCTCTTCCGACTTCCGACTACTAGACAGGGGCAGGTCGGAGAGTGACGTGGCTATCCTGCTTATGGGGGGGGGGAAGGTTCAACTCACTCTTAAAGCGAATTCTCTCTTGGTATCAATAAAGTCTGCAAAGAACTGTTGGACCATAACCTACTCGCCGCCGTACCCTGCCAACGTCTAGTGCTGACACACACCCGCACTCTCGGTGGCATACCAGCTGCTGGTGTTGGCACCCTGCGCCCTCGATGGTAGGTCCGCCGCTGGTGCTGACGTCCACCTGCACCCTCGGTGGTAGACCCACCGCTAGTGCTGACGCCCACCTGCACCCTCGGTGGTAGACCCACCGCTAGTGCCGACACACACCTGCACCCTCGGTGGTAGGTCCGCCGCTGGTGCTGACACACACACCTGCACCCTCGGTGGTAGACCCACCGCTAGTGCCGACACACACCTGCACCCTCGGTGGTAGACCCACCGCTAGTGCCGACACACACCTGCACCCTCGGTGGTAGATCACCGCTAGTGCCGACACACACCTGCACCCTCGGTGACAGGCCCACGCCTAGTGCTGACACCCACCTGCACCCTCTGTGACAGACCCACGGCTAGTGCTGAAACACCTGCACCCTCGGAGACAGACCCACGCTAGTGCTGACACCCACCTGCACCCTCGGTGGTAGGTCCGCCGCTGGTGCCGACACACACACCTGCACCCTTGGTGGTAGATCACACCGCTAGTGCCGGCACACACCTGCACCCTCGGTGGTAAATCACCGCTAGTGCCGGCACACACCTGCACCCTCGGTGGTAGGTCCGCCGCTGGTGCCGACACACACACCTGCACCCTCGGTGGTAGACCCACCGCTAGTGCCGACATACATCTGCACCCTCGGTGGTAGGTCCGCCGCTGGTGCCGACACACACACCTGCACCCTCGGTGGTAGACCCACCGCTAGTGCTGACACACCTGCACCCTCGGTGAAAGACCCACGGCTAATGCTGACACACACCTGTCCCCTCAGCGTCCCACTCCAGGTCGCAGCTCCCCCACTGGGATCCGGTCTGGCGCAGGCTGCTGGAGGAGGCCAGGGACGTGACGGACCGGTTCAGCCGCGACCACAGACCGCCCAGACGCCACCCGGGCCGGCTGGCCACGTCTTCAAACCCGCGCGGACGCGCCGACCTGCAGCATGTGACGTCATCAGACCCGTGCCGCAGCGACAATCCTCAGCAGGTGACGTCACTAGTCAACTGCCCAAGGCGAGACGCGGAGACTCAGCCGTGTCGTGTGGCGGAGCGTTTCGTGTGGCTTGGAAGAGCACGTGTCTCTCCTATGATGTCCAACTTGAACATGACGTCATTGGGCACTCATGCCGGAGGGAAATAATTGACTTAAAGTTGTGTCGTGCCCTCAATACAAAAATGGTCCGGCTTTGCCATGTTCGCAAACACTTTCGGAGGAGAGAGAGAGATAGAGAGAGAGAGAGAGAGAGAGAGAGAGAGAGAGAGATAGAGAGAAGAGAGAGAGAGAGAGAGGGAGAGAGAGAGAGAGAGAGAGAGAGAGAGAGAGAGAGAGAGAGAGAGAGAGAGGAGAGAGAGAGAGCGAGAGAGAGAGAGAGAGAGGAGAGAGAGAGGAGAGAGAGAGAGAGAGAGAGGGAGCAGAGATAGAGAGAGAGATAGAGAGCGAAGAGAGAGAGAGAGAGGAGAGAGAGAGAGAGAGAGATAGAGAGAGAGAGAAAGGAAAGAGAAAGAGAGAGTGGGAGAGAGGTGGGAAGAGCGGGAGAGAGTGAGAGGAATGGGAGATGAGTGAAAGGAATGGAAGAGAGTGGGAGAGAGTGGGAGGAGCGCGGGGAGAGAGCGGGAGGGAGGAGTGTGAGAGAACTGAAGAGAGCGGGGACCACCATGCCATTGGCAGAAATCACAGAATGTCACGATCCTCTGCCCGTCCCTGTGCCGACAGCGCTACCAAACCGGCCGACCGTTGGCGGGGCCAGGACCCGGGTGGCCTCATCATCATTATATAGCCCGAGTCGGAGACCGTATTAATCTGCCCGCGGCCTCGCCCCGGGTGGGCGGGTCCAGGCCGCAGGCCACGGAGGAGACACCGTGTCGGCATATTCGCTGAGGTTTGCAACCGATGCTGTCTGCGCGCTACACTTGGGTGGCAGCTGTGTCTAGTTTTGCAGCATGAGGTCAGTTAATTATAACATACTGTACTGCATGCACACTGTATTTGCGGCCTGTGCCAGGGGGTCAGTGACGTAGGGTAATAATGGCTCATTAGATTGGGTTTCAATGAATACCTTCGTAACAAAAAAGCAGAACCATAGACGGCCTTTTGGAGAAAATGTTTAACAGATTCATCCCGACGCAGACATCAGTACCACATACCTCACATCATGTCTCTTCGTAGATACAAAGACGTAGCTCATCTCAAATTACCGAGTCTCAGTGCATCGTAAACAGGAAGCTTGTACCCAGTACTCAAATACCTTCATTTGAAATCCTCACGACCATTTTATGGCTTGCATGAAGCATCTTTTTGGATCGCGTAGTAATAAAGTAATGCAATCGATGGATGAATCAATACCTGCTATATACATGCATATATATATATATATATATATGTATATCAAATGCAGATAGACGGATAGATAGATAGAGGGTATCTATATGAATCGCATTATTTCATTAGAAGGAAAAAGAGAGAGAAGAGAGAGAGAGAGTATATATATATATATATATATATATATATATATACATATAAATATCTACAAATGAGGTATTGATTCATATATGGGCCGCATTAATTCATTACCACCGTGCACTTGTTTCTTTTTGAGGTGGCAGAAGATGGACCGCATACCAATCTGTGCGTTGGTGTGAGTGGAATGCATTGACTATAGTTTTGCACTGAGGTGCGTGAGTTGCGATGAAGCCAATCACAACAACCCGCATTAATGCAGATGTGTGTGAAAGAGTACTATATGAGATGTATGCATGAAAAAGTGCCACGTAGGATGTAACTGTAGAAAGAAGGTATGCATTACGGTACGCTGATAACAACACTGTCTGTTTAAGCCGGTGAGTTTAATGTTTGATATGGTTTTGTCAAAGCTCAAAGCCGAGGAAAACCCCGAGTGGAAACTCGTCTTCGCTAATTTTTAACTAGAATTTCGCATCACAAGACTGACATTTATCATTACTCTACTATGCTCGTACTCAACGATCTAGTCATCTGATTCCAGAGACGAATTTACGGTGCATGCTGCTGACATGTCTTCATCCCTGCATGCTGCATTGTTTTTCGTTCTGTACTGCTCACTCTCTTCCTTTCATGGCTTTCTTTTTACATTAATGTCCTTTCTCTCTCTCCTTTTCTTAGCTTTCCATTTTCTCTATACCTCTTCTCCTTATCCATCTCCTCCCTCCATGTTCCGAAATACCCACCCCCTCTCCCTCCTATCCCTCTCTTTTTATCCACTCTCCCCTCTCTATCCCTCTATTTTTATTCACTCCCCCCTCTCTATCCCTCTATTTTTTATCCACTCTCCCCTCTCTATCCCTCTCCTTTTTATCCACTCTTCCCTCACCATCCCTCTCCCTGCTTGCTTTGCGAGCTTGTTTAGCGCACACACGAGTGACACACACACGCCATTACGGTGTCATGATCACCCTGGCCTGCCCAGGGACAGAACGACAATCTCCTCCGTGGTGTTTGTATTATCCGACTAATTGCACCCAGCAGGGTATTCGTGTGTGGCTCATCACACGAGGCGCGCGGCCACCGGTCCCCAGGGGAACCGGCACTGGTTAGTGAATACCACGCAGCAGCGGCGACGGTATCCCGCTGCGAATGTGATGTTGAAGGCGCAAAGGTTGACCAGGAGGCTGGAACTGTGCGAGGATTACGATATCATCCGTTTCAAATTTTACATACGCGTCTGGATTGAATTTATCGGCGAAGAAGCAAAAAATGCTATAGGCAGACTTCTAGAGACTCCCTGACGAGCAGGCAGGGACAGCGCCCTTAATTTTTGGCAAGGGGTCGGGGCGGGGTCGTAAAATAATAAATAAAAAACACACCTGAGTTAGAAATGGGTGGGAAGCCGTGCGCTCACTAACATCCTCGCAAATGATCATTGCCGTCCAAATTCCTGATGTGCCTGGCGCTGCATCGCTGTAATGCATGGGGCGCGGAAACCGGGGATGGGTGCGGGGGTTGAGACCCACACCTTTCTGAAGGTTAGTATTGAAGCTGTGGGCGTGATCGGAAAGAAATAATACCAATGCCATCATCACTCTCCTTCCCAACGTGGAAGGGCGTTCGTTGCGCCGCCGGCGGAAAACACGTTGTTGCAGTTTCGCAACTTTTTCTCGGCACATGTTATCATCTATACCAGTTTGCCACGTAATGCACCGGTGCACAAAGATTTGTATGTGCAGTTCTTCACGACCGTGACTAAGAATGTTGCGAGCATCGACAGAGGGAAACGACATATGAAGGTTTCTTCAGGCTACATAAGTGAGATGGGCTTAAACAAAGCAAATGACGAGTTGCAAGCTTTCATGTGCAGCACCGGTTAAAAACCCATGGCCAACTGATGACAGTTGTGACGCTCTTTAAGACCAGTGAGCGCTGCGCTGTGAAAATAAAACGACGCAGTTCCCGGAAAATTTTCAGAACTATTTCCTAAGGCACGTGGCCAAAATTTTCCTCAGGGGGCCGAATAACGAATTTCCTATGAAATCCTGCGAATTGGGACAAAATTCCGGGATATAGACAAATATCTGGTATAAACCGCCCAGGGACAGGGTCGCAATCTCGGGGGTGCCAAGCTCAACTTGGTCCAATTCTTATCTACGTCCCAGCGTTTCCTTTATTTTTTTTTGCACGTTGCATGCAATGGTAGACATCGTTGCAAGTCAGATAATTAGCACAGCATAAATCAAGCGCTATAATTTTAGAGAAAATTTGGGATTATTTACGTCTAATTTGCTCATCGTTGGTTTCAATGATTTTATCAAACTACTTTACGTGACTAACCACCTGTTTTAATCACCGCCCGATCATGGAACTTGATTTCACCCTACGGTTTTTCAAGCACAGCTCAAAAACGAGCGCTCGCAGCAACACCAAATTTCCAGTATCTCTTTACCTATCAATTTGGCATTCTTTGTGCGCATTTAAGGTTTTCTGCCAAGGTCAGCGACCTAGGTCAGGTGAAAGAGGCTAGCTCCGCAACAACTCGGATAACGGTGAACTTTTTTGTGCGTGGTTTGTCATTGCTCAAGGTTTTATTTCGATCAATCAAGGCATTCAAGGCGCAAGGCTCAAACCTACAGTTTGTTACATCATATATTTCAAAAGAGGTGAGGTCATTGAGAAGAAATAAGATGCATGTTTGCTGTTTTTCGTAAATACAGCAAATTTGTGAGCATTTTTGTGCAGTTTTGATGTCTACAATTGAGGCCACTTTCTTGCATGGCGAGAGCACTTACCAAGAGTACTTACTCACGTACACAGCCATCATATGACCAAAAGTACATGACCTTGGCCCAGGTCATGACCTACCGCTATCGGTGCTTTCTGTAGAACACCTGCTGAACTCAAATAGGTAGCTTGTTTAAGTAATTTGGGGCCCAGAGTTCAAAAATTGCGCTGAAAACATCTCGTGATGACGTTCTAATGCACAATCAGGTCACAATAGGTCACGTGAGGACACGCAAGATCATGCGGAGTGATCAAAGGCCAATGACCTCTGTTGTTAGTTACAGAGAGGCTAGATGAGTGCAACGCCTGTAACCACCTCTACACGTGTTTGTGAATCTGGTGGCGCATGATCGACCAGCGAAAAATAACGCAGCCCACCCCAGTGGCGCCGCCCCTATAAGCCCTATAAGTGACTGTTGCTGTGCTGACAAATACAACGAAATTTTAAACTATCCGTACGAATAGTCTGGAACAGCTTAGCATGCCATTAACACGAATGAAGCGCCTTAAAATCATCACACCGTTTATTAGTTCAAAACGGAAACCTCTCTGAAAACATCCTGCCACAAATGAGCTGCTAATTTCACACCGAGATTACCCAGGAAAGTTTAAGCGCACAAGACCGCGGCGCTTTAGCGGGGTCAAAGGTCAAGGAATGACTTCCACTCCCAGGCGTGCAGTTTCGCAAA